CGCCAATCCGTCTTCTATTCTCCAAGATTATCAATGGTACTAATCATAGACATTTCTTTCTTTCTCTACAAAACTATAAAACTGCAGGTAAAACCTTGTTTGCTGGTTCTTAGTAATCAAGCTTGATCCCGGATTGCCATTCCTCATTTAACAGGTTCTCGATTGACATTAGACACCTTGCTACAGGATGGAAGTGCGTATCTAAGTAAAAGTTCTTTCGTATAATTGAATTCAACTCTGCATTGTTTCTTAGTTGCTGAAGCTTGAGCATACCAAATCTTCTTTACACTATCATGATTAAACCTTTTAACTTGATCATTCTAATTTTCTTTTACTTGGATTGCCATTCTTCGTTAAACAAGTTTTCGATTAACCCTCTTCGTTTCTTCGAGATTCAGCACCTTGCTAGAGGACCGAAGAGTGTTCGAGGTAAAAGTGTTCATCTTCTTTGATATATATTAATAGATAGATTATGACTAATAGGAAGGCTTCACTACTATCTATGTTTATGAGATAGAAAAAGCTTGATTGAAAGAGAAATACTCGTCTACATTACCATGATAAGATCTTTGTTTTTGGTCGTTCTCGAGGAATTAAATATGGATTGCAATTCTTCGATTAACAGATTTTTGATTGCCCAGTTCGTTTATTCGACATCAGGACATTGCTACAGGACGGAAGAGCGTGATTTGTTAAAGTATTCATGACCCATTGATACTTATTAATAGATAGATTATTCATATGAATTAAAATGAATGAATAGATGATTAGTAAAATATTATTGCTATATTGATAGAAATTAGGTTTAGTATAAATAGAATAATTTGAATATGACTGAAAATCAATTCATAAACTATCTTTAATGAAATTCTAAGGAAAAGATTAAAATACAATGGTATTCCATGTAATATAGTAAGTTAAAAGTGTTTAAACATTTAAGTATTCCTGAAATAATAGTATGGATCATTTTTTCAAAGTTTTATGATAAATAAATATATAGATAAACCATTATAAATAAACTTGATTCATAAGAAAATAAAAAAATCTAAAGATTTAGAAAATGTAATAAATTTCAATTAGAAACAAACGAAAATAAAAATAGATATACATTAAACTTTCAAAAAATAATTGGTGGTTTTAATTTGATAATTTTAATTGTATTTGTTCAGTTTTCACACGGTGATCTAATTAATTTTTCATTTGTATTTTTAATATATGTTTATAAATTTTAAAACAAAAACATTTTTTGAATCTAGTATACGAATAAACTAGAAGTAGTTAAATTCTTATATCGACCTAGTTCAATCCTAACTATTATTTGACAAGCACCTTTAATGAAATTTGCTGATTTGTACAATTTAATGCTGACCTGGAATAGTGACTTGGAAATGTGACAAGACAAATTTCTTAAAATAAACGAAATGTTTTGATTGGTTGAGTTATAATTAAATAAATTATATAATTATAACATAAATACACTAGATTATAACACTAAAATTTATAAATTTAAATAAATAGAAGATAATAAATTACTATGATTTCACTTTGTTTTTACATAAATTCATAATAGATTAAATAAAATATGATTACGAAAATTTTACAACCAATATATATTTTATATTTTTTAATAGAAAAAATAATAGATTATCTTATAAGATAGTATATACGCTATATACTAATATGGTTGAAAGTATGATATATTATTATTTGTTTAATATAAAATATTTTATTATCTGTTTGACTTTCACAAATTTTATAATAAATATTTATTTTAAATTTTATTTGATATAATATAACTAAATATATAAATAAAAAAATAAAAATGAATCTTTACGATTTTGGTTTTCTGTAACAATCTCAAGTTATATCTTTGGTTTAAAGCATCTCTAACCCACCTTTATTTTAAATGTTCTAATTTAGTGAAAAATATCGATGTTATTTTTCTTCTATAATTGGAGGAAAACATAACATTTTTATTTTTTTATTTAAGATACAAATAGGTTAGAGAGAAATCTACCTATATTTTAGAAGAAAAAATAAAAAAAATACATTGGAAATAATTTTCAATGTTTAATATTTTATCCAAGGTTAAGAACAAAATAAGACAAAAAAGAATAATTTGGATCAATTTTGTGTTTTTATTTCAAAATATATAAAAATATTATCTTACACATATTAGTATTTTCATGCATATATTTTTTCAACATCTTAAAATATTATTTCATGAATCAAGTTTTGTATATGTTATGATCTATTATATATAAGATTAACACATATATCAAAGTTAGGAACAAAAAAATCTTATTTTGTAATATAATAATTAAATATTAAATATATTATTTTACACATTCAGCCATACATATATAAATATAAGTTTATGATCCGACTGGTTTAAACGCTGCGATTGCAGAGAGTTTGTGAAAGCGAGCGATTGCAGGCTATAGAAATTTTGACGAAGAGATAAGAAGAGAGCTACTGAATAAATTTATAAAATAAAAATTCAAAAATATTATAATAATTTTTTATATAATTTTTGTTGAGAAACCATATATCATAAAACGCTGAAAATAAGAAATTTTGATTTAGTACAAAATGATAGAAATAGTTTTCGTGATTGTTGTTAAACACCAAAACTGTATCGTGTAAAATCATATCATTTGCGGAAAATATCAGAAAAACTAACCAACACATAAATATTACAATTCACTTATTTATAACTCATACCTACATATATAAATACACGTATTTTTCATTAAAGATGCATATATATATATAAATCAAAGTCGCATGCAAATTTGTCGTGCATACATTTTCATAACCTCGATTATAGTCTAATTTTAATTTTAGTTATTAGTCAGTTTGTATTTATTAATAAAATATCCATATGTCCTAAGAGCAGTGAGGTGGTTGGTACGCACGAATATGCGGATCAACCATCTACCTGCTCTTAGGATAAGTAGTTATTATTAATACATAATTTCAGATTTATTTTTCTATTAAATGTTTATATAATGTTATTATTAATACATAATTAATCATATAGAAATAAAACATCTTCAATATATAATATTAATTATAGATTTAACATATAAAATATTTTATAGCATGCACACGGTGCGGGCCGATCACCTAGTCATATTATTAATTAAGAAGCAAGTTGAGTTGTGGTTGAGAGTTATAGTGGTTAATTACTTTTTGCCCCTCATGTGAATTGACTTTAATTACCCTTAATGAAATCTGTTAATTATTTATTTATACTAAATCTAAATATTACCTAATTATTCTTAATAAAAGTCTTAATTATTTAATTAGTATATTACGGCTAGGTCTACTTTAGTTTTCTGCTTAACCTAATTTGGTTAATGAAACCTCTAATCTTTTGTTTTATATATATGTATTGTTTGCTAGGTCTAGATTTACAATCTTTTAACTAAATTTTCTTGCTATTTTTAATTTTATAAGTCTTAATGTAATGTTTTTTTCTTTGTAGCTCTTTCGATAGTTTTGCTTTTGTTTGTAACTGATCTTTGTGCTATGAATGTAGATTATTGTGTTGTTTCAGCAAAACGAGGTATGTTTCTCTACATAACATATTTAGTTTGTTCGATTTTCATATTTGTATTTTGTTATCTTTTAGTATGGTGTGACCTTGGTTTAGTGATTTTTATTTGTATATGATTGTTGGTGGATCATCTCATCGAACTAAGAATAGCATAATTCTAATATAAAATTGATGCTACTGATGGTGTATCAACTTTGGTTTTTCTCTTCTTGGTAATGAAAACCCAAAACTGGTGGTTTGCAGAAATTCTTTTGCGACTGATTTTCTGAAAAACAAATTAGGTTATTATTGTTTAGCTTATGACATAGTTCTTATTTGTGCTTGGGTGGAATTTTTTTTCATGGTGAGTTTGATCTTCTCTTTTCATGTTTTCTAGGTGCTTAGGTGGATTAAAAGTAGAATACCAAAAAGGGTTTACAAAACGTAAGAAGAGGCCATCAAAATAGGAGAACAAGAACATATGCAAGAGGTGAAATCCGGAACATGAATCTCATTGATCGATTTGCCAGTGGTATATTATATCTGGTTTGCTACTTCTAGAGCTCTCCTCTATTTGCTGTTGACTTTATGCTCACGTTTTAAATTAATTGTTTATAAAAGTAATAAATCTCTAAACGTCTTAACGGGTTTAGAAAAACCTATATGTTTTATAACTCTGTATATATTTGTTTGAAACAAGAAGAAAAATCTAACTCATATCTTCCGCTTTTTAACCTTTCTTTACATTGAGACATTTTCTCAGCTTTTTTTTTATTTGAGTTTGTTTCACAATTCGAACATGGTTAGTCGAATCCCACTTTTCTGATCAACGTTGGTACAAAAGGTTTCTTGAAATTTGAAAAGATACATTATGAATAAAGTATCAATTTTCAACTCTGAAAAATCTGCATTCTACTAGTAGAATGGTGAAAATGAATGCACCACTCTGATTTTGTCACATGGATCATTTTAGTTTGTAAATGTATGAGTTGTTGTTTATTAAAGATACATATATAAAAAAGAAAGATAAAATGGAGAGCCTTTGTGTAATGATTTGATTGGGGTCCTCATTATTATTCGACTACAATTATGTTTATGTTTTTAGTATGCAGGACATCGCAAATAAATGAATGTAGAACTTCACCCGTTTTTGTGTCACTGGTGGTTTCTCAGATGGCAGAAACCTAATCAAAGAACTACGTATGAATGGTCAAGCCTTATTGCTCCTTTGAATATTTATTGGTTCACCCCAATCCTTAAAATGCTTGGTATGTTGCCTTAAGCTTAAACCGTATTGCTCCTTTGACTGACTCAACTCTAATTTAACGGTTGGATCCATCAATTGATCGCTTTTTCTGAATCAATTGTCTGAATTTACAGAGATGTTAGAGCTCAGGTTGAGGATGGGGATGAAGAGGTTGCTATGATGAAGCTAATTGATCATGCTAGATGGGTCTGGTCAACGAAGAAGAAGTTTCACTGCCTCGGATGACTCTGTTCTTCCTCTGTTTCGGAGGTTATCATAACAGACTTCACTTGGGCCAGTCATTCTCTTGGGCCTTTCAGCATTACGCATGCCCAGCTCGTGAAACCATCCGTGAGATTGAAGACGTTGCTGAACAGGAGTCAATTCGTCAACTTTAGGCAAGTTTTAGCGTGTTGCTTGTGTCCATCGTTTGAAGAACAAAGTTAACTACCTGCAAGCTTTTCCAAACTGTTATTAGAACCTCTCTACAGACACACATGAGAAGAAAATATAAACTCTTGTCGTTGTATGTAGAAGTAGATGCTAAGAACCTTGTCACGATGCAGCACCAGATTTCTCGGAGAAGCACGGATGACTCTGATATTCGGAGAGATGCTAGATGAACAGGAGAGTCCGAAGCTGTGGACCTTACCTGGCTCTCTATAATGATTAGAAACCCCAAGGACATTTGCCATGGTTAAACTCGGAGAAATGGTGGCTTCAGATCAGGATATTTCTCTACCAGATTCCTAGAAAAAGAAACAACAAATCTAGCTTTAGCACGCGGGAGTAAAACATGAAGGTGAAAACAAGAGAAGACCATCATCGCCGAAGAAACCTCCGAAGATGATTCCCAGAGCTGGAAAAAATAGGATACTGGTGAAATATGTGCGGTTGTGAGATCAATACAAGTCACTATTCGTATCTCAGTCAGCACCAACATCAATACAAGTAATTAACAACATCACTTAGTATAGATTCTCAACATACACACAAGTTTTCCTAAACCTCAGCAATCCAATTTCGTTTGTCTATCTAAAATAATGTTCATATAAATCAATCATCTAGCAGCATACAACTATGGCTTTGTTCTAATATCTATGCCAGTCATATGATGAAAATTCTTCCTGAGCATGTCGATATGTGCTAATCTGATGCACATATATGCATTTCACTCGTAGTAACAGTATTTAACAAAGATAAGTCCTGAAGATCACAAGAAAAGCAACAATGTGTACCTCCACTTCTTGCTTTCTTCTTTTATTGCTTCTGACTGTGCACTTCCCTGAGCCTCACAAATAACAACTGAAATTCGAAACCACCCGAAATGATTTAACTTTCTGATTAAAGAAAACGAGAAACAAATCGGAGAAAAAAAACTGGTTCTTTAAGCTATATAAACTCACTTTCTTCTTTAATCTCTCCTCGTCCTCTTCTAACTGACTCAGTTTCAATCTTCTTCTTCTTCCTTCTTTTCAACAAAATGACGTTTCTCTTGACCATTGCGCAAGCAAAGCATTTTCTTCCGAGAATCCAAGCAGCTATCTGGCTTGCTGCTTCAATCATTTTCCTCCTCGCATCCACCACTCTCTGGTCACTGACATGGAGTCCGCTAAAAATCCTTGGCTCCCTTGTCTTCGTTGCAACGCTGAGTTTGATCCCAACGTTCTCCCCTAACAATCCGATCGATCTCCGCCAGATTCTCCGTCGGGACGTGTTCGCGATAGTCAAGACAATCGGATCCGCCGGATTTTTCAATCTATTCCGATGGTTTGCTCTGGTTCTGAAAAGGGGAGACCCGTGGCTCTACCTTGCAACCACCACTTTTGACCTTTATGTTTTGGCTGTGGACGTCGCATTGCGATTAACGGATGACATCGGATTCACCGACGGGATGATCTTCGCCATCTACGGCGAGTTTCTTCATCTCTCCTCCGTTCCTCGTTGGATTATAGATGCTTCCATGAACTTGTTGATTCTCTACAAACACCTGCACCCAGCGGAGCCCGAAGCACAGCCGCAAGCCCAAGCCCAACCTGTACACGAAGATGGTCAAGAAGAAGAGCAAGAGGATATATATTTTGAGGCCCAAGCCCAATTCGGAGATCAAGATGACGACATGGAAGAAGACGAAACCCAAATTCGAGACATTCGCATCGTTGTAGAGGTAGCACACATTGACTTCGAAGAAGACACGCCAAACGCAAACGCCAACGCCAACGCAAACGCTATCACAAACGTCGCCGCCGCTATACCACAGGCCCAGGAACCTGCAACTTCAAAGTGGGCTTTAATATGTACAATTGTCATTTTTCTAGCGCTTCTAATGAGGGATTAACCTTTCGGGCTTGCACAAAAACGACGCCTGATATATGCTTTTTTTTTTTTTTTTTTTTTTTTCTCACAATTTCCTTTTTTTTTCTTAATTTTGTACACCGATTACATTTTTTTACATAGAAAAATGATTTTGTTTCCATTATCAGGATATATGAGTTTCATTAGACTTTTCATTTTCCCAACTTTTATAATTAGCGCATCTTATTGTTTTTGTTCAATCCAAACCGGAACCAACAATCGAATTTAAAAACATTAGTCTTACTTTCATCAAACTTTTATGTACATAGAAACTATATAAATTAATACTTGATTAATTAATAAATCTATAAATTAACCAAAAAAAATTCTCAAATTAAACTGGTGAAATAATAAAATAATAACTTTTTAAAAAAACTTATATAAACATACAATTTTATTAATATTATAAATTTACTAAGAGAAATTTCTTCAAATAACATTAAAATAAATGTTACTTTCAATATTACTATACAAGTTTAAAAATTATATACTATAACATTTTTGACATAAATTAACTATATTACTCTCACTCAAATAATAGACTGAACTATAATAAATTCAAATTTTGATTTCAAATGTTATCGACGATTATAGCCCAGTTTTCACTGATATCGACGATGACATCGTCACCATCATTTTATCATCATCGTCATCAATCAGCTCTAATCATTATCTTCATCAATCAGCTTTGATCAATATCATCATCAATCAGCTCTGATCATCATCGTTATCAATCGATCTACTCCATTCATAGGTATTCTCTGTTTCTTAACTTTTTGATCTAAGTTATAACAAATTAATTTTGGATGTTGTCGAGCTTCTTAAGAACGATTTTGATTGTTTAGCATCTTCAATTGATCTCTTCATGTTGGGTCCAGTTTTACTATGGCTAATGATAACATAACACATGAGCACTAAACCACTCTAGAAACTGACATAGTCCTATAGCTCAGCAAACAACTCCCTAGCATACTATTCCCGGACAGTTGGCGGGCTTTCCAAATCACACATGCGACTCCCTAGCATACTATTCCCGGGCAGTTGGCGGGCTTTCCAAATCACACATGCGTCACCAACCCACCTGCTCCTCTGGCATGATGAACGGATGGGACAGGATGGGGCAGGTTTGTATAAAAGAAGGACCAAGGCAAGAAGAGAAAAGGGGGACCAAGAGGATGAGGAGAGGAGAGAGCTCGATCGAAGGATAAGGAGAGAGCTCGATCTGAAAGAGGAGGCCATAAACCAAGAGCCTAAACCAGAAAAAGAGAGAGAGAGAGAGGAGAGAGAGAGAGAGAGAGAGAGAGATCAAAGGAGAGACATCTTTAGAGCTCGATCTAAAGAGGAAGAATCCTTCTAAATATATCATAATAACTATGGATATACAAACGATCATTATGTTGTAGGTAAATGCCAAAATAAATATATCATATTTAAGTAATGCATATGTTGAAAACCTTTGTTGGTGTGCTGAAATTGCAGATAATACCCATACTTGGAAAGCCGAGAAACATTCAAATAGGGTATGGTTTATGATTTTTCTTTTCGCTCCACTTCTACGAAATTGAAGATCACAATTCATCTCTCTGCTATGTAGATAGTGCATGACCGATATGTAACCAAATAGAGTTTTTGAGTTTTTCATAAAAAAATGTTTTTTCTTTAGAAGACGTTTAACTTTCCACACGTGCCTTTGTAAGATATTTATGTCTCGTATATAGGATCAAGGACTTGCTTCATTTTGTGAGAATTCTTATTGTGTGATGTATCGAGACTTAACCATATACTAGGTAATAATCCGCGCCCTGCGCGGAGTGAAAAATTCATTATTTAAATTCAATGAATTAAATTAAAGAAATTATAAAGATGATATATTTGATAAGAGTTTAATATATATAAAAATAAATTAACTTTAAAAGGTAAAAACAAAATGTTGGAGATATGAACAATATAGTATAACCTCTTTCGGAGGTAATTACATTGATTGATTTAAAGCCGAGAAACAAATGTCTGTGTTTCGGCTATTATTTATTTTTCTGTTATTTATTTTAAAGATTAACAAATTAAAACATTCTTTAACCAATAATAAAATCTAAAGAAACACATATTAATTTTTAAGAGAATTGGGTATATGATAAATTAAAAATTGATTAAAAAAATCTCTTAAATAATATATATGTTTACTAAGATATATCATACTCAGTTAAGTAATTAATATTAGTAAACAATATTGTATATGATTTACTAAGACATATCATATTCGTTAAGTAATTAATATTGGTAAACAATATATACGGTTTATGTTTTAATAAAGTACGCAATTAAGTCATATTATCATATTATCATTGATTAATAATTTTAAAGCAATCAATATACACCAAAAATCACAATCACAATATTATGATTTCCTTATATAATTATTACGAATATGTATAAATGAACTCTAATCATAATTTCAGAAATTTTTAGTTATGATTTTCTTATAACTCGAAAATAAAAAAAATATATTTTTAACTATATTTTTTTGTATATAATTTTATGAATTGTTAAAATATATGGTCTGAAGTATTATTTATACTAATAAATAAACTTATAAAAATTTCGAATATTCTTGCTTATGATTTTCTTATAATTCGAAAATAACAAATGTTTTTAATCATATTTTTTTGTATATACTTTTATGAATTTTTAAAAAATATAAATGAAAATATATGGTCTTGAAGTATTTTATATGTGTTAGAGAGTCATTTTTGTGTTTGCTATATATAATTACAACAATAGATGAAATAAAATAATTATGACTTATTTGAATTTGTTATGATTGATTTTTGACAAAAATATTTTTTAAATGATTTTTAAAATTTTAGTTATATGGTATAAGAATTATTATCCCCACTTTTATTTTATATTTTTTTATGAATGATTAATAAACTGCTTCTCGGATGAAAGCAATAAATATTAATAAATTATTATATATTTTATTATGGATTTATAATTAAATATTTATAGATAATATTTAAAAAGTGTTTTTTGGAGAAATATTTTGTTATTGTCTTAGTCTATTATATTATTAAAACGTATATTATTACTTTTGATTTCATTTAAATGTGGTAATTTGTTATTTTCTTAGTCTATTAAATTATTAAAACATACATTATTTTCTTAGTCTATTTAATTATTAAAACATACATTATTACTTTTGAATTAATCTAGTAATCTATGTCTTTTATAGAAAATAGCTGAGAATGAATGTGGAGTTGACACATCAACATAATGGCACCACTGTAAATACTTACACAAATAAGGTTACTCTCTAAAAATACTTCTCAATTAATATATAAGAGATTTTCTAGTTTTTGTAAAACTCTAGCCTAGTAAATCTGGAATATTCCCATTGATCAAAAGTGTATTGATAAGTGATTACAAGAAAAATGATTTTGTTAATTTTGTACACTGATTACAGTTTTTTACATAGAAAAATGATTTTGTTTCCATATTATCAGGATATATGAGTTACATTAGACTTTTCAATTTAACATTTATAATTAGTTCATCTTATTGTTTTTGTTCAACCCAAACCGGAACCAACAATCAAATTTAAAAACATTAGTTTTACTTTCATCAAACTTTTATGTACATAGAAACTATACAATTAATACTTGATAAATTAATAAATCTATAAATTAACAAAAAAACCTTACCAAATTAAACTGGTGAAATAATAAAATAATAATTTTTTTTATAAATTATATAAATATACAATTTTATTAATATTATATCAGCTCCGATCAACATTGTCATCAATCAGCTCTAATCATCATCATCATTTGATCTACTACATTTATTTTTTCCATTCATAGGTGTTCTATGTTTTTTATCTTTTTGATCTGAGTTATAACAAGTTAAATTTGGATGTTGTGGAGCTTTTTAAGAACGATTTTGAATGTTTAGCATCTTCAGTTGATCTCTTCAATTGATCAAATGAATCGGTGATGAAGATATTGACAATGACACTGATGAGCGAATTGTTTTGCATCTTTAAATTCAGTGTGGTGTTTGAAATGAATTAGAGATTCGTAGTTCATGTTTACCCAATCATTGACATTTAATTTGTTCAGCATTGTTATCTGGAAGATATTTGGACGTTTTAGGAAGATTTTTCAGTTTTGGGAATGTGTTCTTAACTAACAACAAAGTAGGTTGTGGTTAAATGGGTTAGATTATATTTCCTCAATGATTGACTTTTAGGAAACAATGAATATGATGACATAATGCTTATCTTGTTTAGGCAGAGAAATAGTTGTTGCAAATCTTCTTGTTCATGAAGAGAAACTCCAACAAAACAGGGATTTAAATGCTAGCAAAGCTCCGAAGGTAATTTCTACACGTAAATCTAAACATTAAGGGAGGTGTATTCAAAATAGAATTTATAGTGATTTGTATTAAAATCACAAAATCTATGTCACTAAAACATAAATTTTAAAAAGTTGTTTAAAATTCAGTGTTATTGAACTAGTGATTAATAAATGTAACTTCAAATTCACTGTTATTGAAAATAATTTAAGTAGTGAATTTTAAAAAGTTTGGAGTGACTTTAATATGTTTTGATAAAATTTCCTAGTTAAAAATATAAGAATC